GACCCTGCTCCTGGGCACTGCGCCATACCCTGGTGTGCCCAGTGTGCACGTGCTCAGCTCGCACTCCTCCAGTAGAACCTTCTGTTTAGGGGCAGGTGTCATCCTCCCCATTTCTGCTGCCCCAACATGGAGGCTGGCTTCCTCATCTTCACTGTAGGTACGTGAGAGCCACACTTTCCTGCCATTTTGGAGACTCAGCTGGGACTGAGTTTCCTCTTTCCAGGGATGGATGGGGGGCCTGGCTTTGAAGAGGCTTGGGTGAGCCTGTGTTTTCTCACCGGGTCCTTATTCTCTAACCCGAGCCTGCACTGTGTGTGGGACCCACAGTGAGGGTACCAGACAAGATTACAAGCAGTGAAGAAAAGATACTCTGTCCTCCCACCGTGGCACACGCAGCTTTATTCATCCAGAAGACCAAGTGGGAATCTAGAATTCTCAGACTCCTGGAAGTTTTGTGAACTCTGCAGCCTGGGGAAAAGCATCCCCCTTTCCCCACCTCCCTCTTTCCCATCCACAGCTGCATTTCACACTGTGTACATCCCCCAGCCTAGACACCCAAGGTCTGTCTACACCCCTCCCAACAGCTTCCCCTTGGCCACCCCATGGGTCCAGGGTGCACACACCAGGAGGAGAGAAGCTCAAGCTACTTGGGCTGGAGAAGTGGGATGCGGGCTCCAGGCGGGCGCTCCCCCATTACCCCGTGGGGAAGGCTGTGGACAGAGGAACGCCAGAGCAGGGCTCTCTAAAGCTTGATAACTGGGGCAGGACCCCTGGTTCCCAGAGCCCTGTCATAGGGATTGAGAGAAAAGCTGAAAGAATATTTTGAGACAGGATTCCTGAGAAATACAACCCGTTCTGTAATATGTCCAGGCCAGCTGTGCCTGCGAACTTAACGATTGTGCCCAGTCTCACCAGCCATATTTCAAAAAGGACAATGGCATTGTGCATTTGGTTCATCTTACTTTCCCCCATTATTTGTATCAACACGCCATCATGATAGCATCCTAGGCACGAGCATTTCTTTGAGTTTTAGGGTATCCCTCGTGTTGCAAAATCCCGTCTGCCTTTCAGAAACGGCTGCAGGGGTTTGGCTGTTGTACATAATTTATCCACCAGCTCATCGAAGGGGAGGCATATGTATTTCATGCTGGCCTATAATTTTTTTCTCCCAAACTACCAATTTTTTTTGTTTTGTTTTTTACTTCAATCAGGTCATTTTTTCTATGCATCCCTCTCACCTCCCTCCCCAACCTCAAAGCTAACAACCTCAAAGCTAACGAGTATGTTACCTAAAAACCTATTGTTCTTCCTCTATTGTCAGGCTGATCTTTTTGTCACACAGGGTGGACAGGCTGAACCAAGGAGGGCTTGACTGTACTCAGACAGGTGGGAGCCTCTGCAGCCCCTACGGAAATAAATGGCACTGGGACACTTAAGAGCAGTTACAACATTTGAAATGTGGAATCAAGAAGATGATTCCCTCCCGAGTCTCTTAAGGAAGAGCGCGCCCCAGTGCGACCCGTGTTCTGTGGGCGCTGGTCTGGCTGCAGCATCCTTTCTTTTCTCATTAGGCAGGCAGCTCCTTGAATCAGCAACAAAGGGAGAGGAAAGTACATACCACAACTGCTTTCATTTTGAGGGTTATTTTCCTATTTAAAAGTTGAGGCAGGAGGAGGGAGAGGAGAGTGAAGTGTCACCCGTGTGATACTGCTCCCCTGGGGTTGTCAGTGGGCCCCAGACCTGGGCCCCAAGAGCTGTGAGCCACATTTCTGCCCTTCCTTCCTCTTTCAGGACTCGGTAGAAATCAGAGCAGGGTGAGGTGGGGGAGAAACCTGCTTTGGGCACGAGAGCATCTGTCACCCTGGCTCTGGGGCGAGGGGAAACAACCAAGGAATTGGTGAGCCCTGCTTGTTTGACCTGCAGTTGTCAAGGTTGGCTTTTATCGTTTGTGTCAAAGGAGTGAGAAGTGATCGATTCATGAAACGCAGCGGGCTGGTTAAGGGGAAGCTCCACCCATGGGGTCCTGTGTTCCCGCAAGTGCACTCCAGTCCGGTTCCAAAAACTGGGTCATGACTTGAGGCCTGTTGGGCAGGACGGGCATAGAACAAGCAGGCTGAGACCCAGGCTGTCTTCTGGAGCCCGGAGCTTGCCTCCTGAGATAAGGCAGCAAGTGCACCTAAAAACCAAAGCAAGACTCAAAAAGAAGAACCCAGCGTGTAACATGTCACACCAATGCATCAAACGGGAATAAATCAGTGTGATGGCGAAAAATTAGACAAAACTCCTTAGAGGTGCAGAGAATTGGGTGCCGCGCCCCCCGGCACTGGGCACTGACATCCAGCCTCTGCATTAGTCCTCACACTGACGCCAGGAGGCCGGCACCCTCTCCACACGTGGCTGGTGAGGAAATTGAGGCTCAGTCAGTGTGTGACTTATCTGTTGTCCGAGGAGGCTGGTGGCGGCAGCACCGTTGAGGATGTAAAGTCAGGTCCATCTGACTCCAAGCCTGTGCAGCTGACCCCTCCATCCACTGGGCCTGACAGAAGGTGTTCTCTGAGCAGATTGGAAGGAGAGAGGGAGAGGGTCACGTGGGCCGAGGACCCAGCCGTGGTTTGAAGATGGTGAGGAACCGTTGGAGAGGACGTCTTGTCCAGGGCAGAGGGGCTAAGATGGTGGAGGAGACGAGAAGCCAGAGGGCAGTGCCAGGCTTCCTACGGTGGCAGGAGAGGAGGGCTGGGCCTCAGCGTTGGGGAGCAAGTTAGAAGTGTTCTGCAGGCATCAGAGCGGCAGCTGTGCCATGGGGAAGGGGTGCCTTTGAGGGGCAAGGAGAGTCCGCAGGCATGGCGACAGGAGGGAAAATCAAAGATTTGGGCCTGGAGTCTGGTGGATGACAGTCTCTCCCACTGAAATGGGAAAATTCACGAAAGGGATGCCTAGGCATGGAGCTCAACTGGTTTGGCTTAGATGTATCAATACAGAATTTCAGGGAGCAGCTGCTCTCCTGGGTGCCATGTCTCGTGAACAAGTAAAGGTGTCACAGTGGAGTCCAGCACACAGGCAGCTGGACGCATGGATGCGGGGCCACCCCAGGGCGGGGAGAGGGGAGGGTGAGAATCTCGCGGCCCTCCGAGGAGGCCGGGAGAAAGTGTCTAGATGTCCACGGCCTGTGCTGGGGAAGATGCCACATCACAGCAGAAACCTCTACCAAATAAAATAGCCACCTTCTAAAAGATTATCTAAAGAACGCCAAGTGCGGACTCTTTTTTTGGCAGTGGGGGGAGGTTATTTTTTATTTTTTACAGTAGCTCCTTGTTGGTTATTTATTTTAAATATAGCAGTGTGTACATATCAATCCCAAACTCCCAATCTATCCTTCCCCCACCACCTTTCCCCCGGTAACCATAAGTTCATTCTCTTAAGTCTGTGAGCCTACTTCTGTTTTGTAAATAAGTTCATTTGTATCATTTTTTTTTAAGATTCTGCATATAAGCGATATCCTATGATATTTCTCTTTCTGTGTCTGACTTACTTCACTTAGTATGATAATCTCCAGGTCCATGCATGTTGCTGCAAATGGCATTATTTCATTCTTTTTATGGCTGAGTAATATTCCATTGTGGAAGATGGGCTGGACCCAGGGGATGGCCAGTGGCTTTGAGTCGTTGGATGGGTGGTTGAGCTATGCTGCACTCAAAGGCAGGAGGTGAGACTGCCCAGCAGACGACAGTGAAGGGTGACGACAGGTAAAGAGTGAATGCAACTTTGAGTCTGGAAATAAGAGGCTCATCTACACGGGGTCACTCAGTTAAAGACTTAATGCTGTCGAAAGAAGTGGATTTAAGTCTGAGGGTGGCAGGGAATCATGGGAGCATTTTCGAGAATGAAACAATACAGTCAAAGCAGCATGCATGGGACGCAGTTGTGGTTTTGCTCTTATTTACACTGAAAAGGGTGCTCACGCGAATGGGCCTTGAGTGAGAGCTGGGCCACCAGCATAGAGAAGGGGAGTATAATTTGTGTAAATTGTCTCAGTTAATATTACTAGAGCTTTCATGGCCAATAAAAATGGATCATTAATCTCTTTGCAGACCTTCTTGGTTTCTCTCCACCGTCCTGTTGGAGAAAGATGGTAGGGGAAATGCGACTTGAAATATTTGGGGGACTTGTTGGGTTTGCTTGAGTCGACACTGGGCCCTCATCATTCATACCCAGAGAAGACTTAACACCGTGGGAATCACGATGGAGACTTGAGAGAGAAAATGTAGCACCGCCAAATTTACAAAGGCAGGTGGAGTCCTCTACACAGTGGTCACAGGAAATGAACAGGCAGTGTGGTCATGGGGGACAGGCTGTATGGTGGCTGAACCCAGGACCTCCCGGCGGTGTATTTTTTATTTTTAAATTTTTATTAATTAATTTTTTTATTGGAGTATAGATGATTTACAATGTTGTGCTAGTTTCAGGTGTACAGCAAAGTGAATCAGTTATACATATACATATATCCACTCTTTTTTAGATTCTCTTCCCATATAGGTCATTACAGAGTATTGAGAAGAGTTCCCTGTGCTATACCGTAGGTTCTTATTAGTTATCTATTTTATATACAGCAGTGTGTATATGTCCATCCCAATCTCCCAATGTATCCCTCCCCCTCCCTCTCCCCCCCCCGGTAACCATAAATTTGTTTTCTGTAATACATCTGGGACTATATTTCTGACTATATGTGACTGTAAATAAGCTCGTTTGTACCATTTTAGGATGGAGCTTTGCTGATGGTCACGGCCGTTTACTCTGATGTAATCATCCCGGCTGACAAGGGTGAAGTGACTGCGCTGGCCCTGCTCCCACCTCCCCGGGGCGGGCTCTGTCCACCTTGAACTTATCACCAAGGAAAGACTGTAGCACGCCACCTCTATCTGTTATCACCACGATGTCCTCCTCCAAACAGGGTCCAAAGGGTCCAAAGGGATGCCATTCACTTTCTCTTTCTTCCTTTCCAGTTACTTTAGAGCAGTTCTCCCTGCCCGGGAGGAGCTGTCCTGAAAAGAGGACCAGGCTTTGTTAAAAAAGGTACGTTGTGCTATGCGGCTGCTTCCCACTAGCTATCTACCTTACGTTTGGTAGTGTGTATATGTCCATGCCTCTCTCTCGCTTTGTCAGGGAGATCAGCTCGGTGCTTTGTGACCGCTTGGAGGGGTGGGATAGGGAGGGTGGGAGGGAGGGAGACGCAAGAGGGAGGAGATATGGGAACATATGTATATGTATAACTGATTCACTTTGTTATAAAGCATAAACTAACACACCATTGTGAATGAATTATACTCCAATAAATATGTAAAATAAAAAAAAATTAACTTCAGATAAAAAAAAAAAAGGTACGTTATCACACAAAGCTCTGATTGCCTTAAAGGCTCACAGCATTTTTATTGCCCTGAGGAGGGGTTCACTTTTACGAGCCAGAGTAAATTTATCATCCCTGAATTTTGTGCTCCTTGGGGATAAACTTGCCATCGGTGGGTAGGAGGGCTGCTGGCTAATGAGCACAGCCGCCGTCCTCGGAGTGCAGCAAAGTGACAGGAAAGTGGGTGTCAACCACTAGCGGGGAATCTGTTCAATTCTCCAAAGGGCTCAGTTGGTTCTATTTAAGCTTATCTGACAGAGCCTTGATTCTCTGAGCAGATTTATGAGACTTGGCCAAATTCTATGACTCTCACCATACTTTTTAATTAAGACAAAGGATCCCATACGTTCTGTGTCTGCCACATCTTTCGTCGCCGTGGGGAGAGCCTCACAAATGAGTCTGTTCGTATGAGCCACTGGAAGGGGCATCTTATGTCATAGCTTCCTCGCCCTTGAGTGGGAGACAGACTTCTTTTATTCTTGGTGACCATCGTTTTCTTTCCTTCCAAATGACGAAGGAGCACAGGTGCGGGCTAACCTACACTGCAGTTGTACATCTAGGTGAGCCAAAAGTGTGGAAAAGCCTGTCCAGCAGCCTGCCTGCATTTAATTAAAACTTAGTCTTTGAAGGCAGAAAGCAGTAGGCACCAGCAGATCATAAAAGTAGAGACACGCTTTTCCACCAATGGATGAGACTCATGTTTTCACCTAGAAACTGCCCTCAGACTGACCTAGAGGCGTCTGCATTTCCGTGACGTCATTTCAGTTCTGTACTGTCAGGAAACCGCGTGTGCCAGGAGTTGCATTTCTTCACCTAAATGCCATACCAGCTGTTCTCTGACTTTAGAAATGGGTGGAAAATATAGGGCGTCACTAGAAGGGATTTTCAACTCATTTGCCTAAGACGTGATATTTTCAGTCTGTCTTTTTTTAAAGCTTTCAGTGATGTTGATTTTATAATACAGAAGTGCTGATACCAAACACTGGGTTTGCCCAGGAAACGTGGTCCACCAGGGTCCCGGGTCTTCCAATACACTGACTTTGAATGGCACCCATTCAGGCACAGAAACTTTACTTGGTACTTTGAGGTTGTCCACCCTAAGCTCTCAGTTCCCCACCCTGAGGGCCATTCCCCCAGGACCTTCCCTTCCAGGTACAGGCAGTGGCACTGTGATCTTGGAGTAGCTCTTGGCCCCCAGACACTCACCTCTTTACTCCAGTCGCTAGTCAAGGTGATGAGGACACAGTGCCTTTGGCCCTTTCTTCCTATTCTGTCCAGCGTTTTCTCCTGCCGTCTCCTCCTTCTTGCTTCTCTCCTCCTGTTCATCTCGCCACTGTGTTCCCTTCTCCATGCCTCTGTGGGCTGAACCAACTCCTATGTGTTGCTCGGTCCTGCTGGTGAGCCCTGCATGGAGATTACCTGGGCATCTCAGAGGCAGCCTGGGGTAGAGAGGGCAGAGCACAGAGCCTGGTGCCAGGAGAGCAGACCTCCAGGCCCGCTCCTAGCTGTCCCTATGGCCTCCACGACTGCAGATACCACGGCCACTCTCTTCACATCCATAGGGAGAGGGTAGAAAGAGATGCCACCCAAAGCCTCTTCCTTCTCTTACTTTCTCACCCGCCTGCCATGCACACATTGCCCCAGGCTGGCTTCTTGGGAACATTTGGTTAGAAACTAACAGTTGAATACTCTGTAATGACCTATATGGGAAAAGAATCTTAAAAAGACTGGATATGTGTATAGGTATAACTGATTCACTTTGTTGTACACCTGAAACTAATACAACATTATAATTCAACTATACTCCAATAAATATTAATTTAAAAAAAGAAGAGGCTTCCCTGGTGGCACAGTGGTTAAGAATCTGCCTGCCAATGCAGGGGACATGGGTTTGAGCCCTGGGCCGGGAAGATCCCACATGCTGCGGAGCAACTAAGTCCGTGTGCCACAACTGCTAAGCCTGCGCTCTACAGCCCGCGAGCCACAACTACTGAGTCCACATGCCACAACTACTGAAACCCGCACACCTAGAGCCCATGCTCTGCAACAAGAGAAGCCACTCTAATGAGAAGCCCATGCACTGCAACAGAGTAGCCCCCGCTCACCGCAACTAGAGAAAGCCCGCGTGCAGCAATGAAGACCCAATGCACCCAAAAATAAATTAAAATAAAAAAGAAGAAGAAGAAGAAACTAACAGTTGGGAGTGGGAGAGGGTTCAGATAGCCCAGGGTGTCCTGGAATGATGTCCAGTGACATTCAGTATTTTACATCTTCCCTGTTGGTCTCTGCAGACTGTGTGACTATTGCAACCGAGGGTGATATCTGTGGTGTTTTCTCAATGTCTGCAGATACTTGAACTGGCATCATCAAAGAAGTTTCACTCAACAAAAACGTGTGCTCAGTTCATATATACTGAAACTATTTTATGATTTTTTCTCAGAGATTGAGGTTTTTTAATGTCACATATCAGAGAGCATCATGTGGGCGTGACAGTGGTAGGCAGGATTTTTGTAGATTGTTCTGTGGAAGAACTTGCTCAGGGTGACAGTAGATCGTTCTGACTACAATCAGTCTGTGGTCAAGTTTATGTTTACTCGAGTGAGCTATGCACTTCCTAGATTCTCTGCAGCCAACTTAAATATTTAACTCCACCTTGTTGAGTGAACAGTTGTTGCAGGCACAAAAAAAAAAAAAATGCAGATTTGTGTTGAATATGACGTTTTAAAAAACAATATTTTGCATGCATACCATTGCATCCCTATACTGTCCCAGATAATTGAGACTTAAGGACAGATAATTTCATGACCTGTGAGGGTGCTCTAGACACACACTGCAGGGAAGATGCAAAAGATGAACACACAGCAGTCGAGCCAACGTCTGACACCCCTGGAAAAACAAAGCCAGAGTGTGAGGTTTTGGAGATGGCAGAGGCCAGATCCTTCATGTGACAACCAGGAAGAGTAGGACAGGGAGGAGATATGGCCCTCTGCCACGGCACTGCTAGTTGTCGGGCAGTAGAACTGTGACCACAAAGCCTCTGGACCCTCAGGCTGGGCTTCTTCCTGGACTCCTCCCAGATGATCAGATTCACAGAAAATCCACCACCTCGGCCAGAGGTAAGACTGACGAAGCCTCAGGTGCACTGCTGTGGCTGGCGTGTGGAATCACGCTCGTGGCTTGCTGGGAATCACACCCTATTTGCTGAGACTACCGTAAGGCAGGAGGGAGCTGGCTTCTCTGTGACTCAGTTTCCCCAAATACCAAGCAGAGGTCGAGGCTGTTGATGACTTAGGATTTTCCCACCACTGTGGCCCTGCTAAGGGGCTGGGAAAAGATGCCAAGAGGTAGGACAGCTGTCATTAGGGTTTGCCTCTCAGGGAGATTTCACTATGATTTGAACCACAGAAAAGATTTAGATTCCATAAATGACTTATGACCCCATTCACTTTTCATCCCCATACTTACCTATTCCTTCCCTCGTTCTTAGTTCTGCTTTTGCCAATTAATCTCTTTGGTCCTTGCTGCCACTACCCTGGAGAGCTGCTTTTGCCAATTAATCTCTTCGGTCCTTGCTGTCACTACCCTGGAGAGCCCGCTTATGCCTCTGCTCTGCCCTCCACTCCACTGTGGCTCTGGATCTCACCTAAGCTCCAGCGCCACATCCCAGCTCACTCAGCAGGTCTGAACCCCACCTGTCTACGGTCTCTGTCCTCCCTCCTCAGCCTCAGAACCATGGGACAGTCCATGACTCTGTCCTGGGACTGCCACTCTAGAGCCAGTGCATCTGTGCCCCTGGCAGCATCTTTCAGAGTCACCCCTTTCCTCTGTTCCAGAACAGAGCACCTGGGCTTGGTCCACTGGGGGCAAGTCTGATCTCCACTCTGCCAGGATCCAGCGTGTGACCTTGGGCAGGTCACTTTGACCTCTTTTAGCCCAGTGTCCTCTTCTGGCAAAAGAGGAAGAGAATTAGATTACTCCGGAGACCCATCCAGCACCTACACTCTGTGAATCTGTGCCTGGACATTGCCAACAAGCCTGCGATTCTAAACATGCTTGAGAATGAATCAGCCTGGTCTTCCAACTGCTTGTCTCTCTCCTTCGGGCTCAGCCAAATGAACCTTCTCAGAGCCCCATGTCCTACGTGTCCCTCCCTGGATAAGTTTCCAGCCCTAAGTCTCTCTATCCTTTGAAATAGGGAGATGACAGAAGTCCAGAAACCTGGACTTCTTGGTTTTTTGAGAGTGAAAGGGGGCACCATTAAAAATTAAGCTTGGGTGACAGGCATAAACCATGACCGTCCCAGGCAAACCCAGCCATCTGGTTAGCCTAGTTTTGAGTCAAGGCCAAAATCCCTTCCTCAGTCAAATGGCTCTACCTTGCCTCTCAAGCTTTGCTCTCAGTATTCGGTCCGGCTGTTCCCTGCCTGCCTCCCAGGATTGTCTCCTCTTAAAAATTGGGCCCTCTTTTCAGTGATGGAAATTAGTCATAAGACAGGCCCCTTGGTGCCAATCTGCATTCGGACCATCATTTTCTAAATCAAATAGAAATGATCACAGTTCCTCAGTCTGTTCTCTGGGGACTTTCTTACACAACTGGCAGCAGTCTTTCCAGTTTGGGTGTGAGACAGCAGCCCAGCAAGGACCCTCAATGGGACAAAAACATCCTGATG